TGTGAGTATGCTGCTCTGCAGATGTCACTATATTCCATCCTGATCCTAATTTCAGGGGTTTTTTACTGTTCAGTGCTGTGAAAAGGAGCCTTGTGGGATTTAATCAGCTATCTCACTTAGGGAGCCGTGCCAATTAATTTCCAATGGGTGGGACCTTTAGCTGTGGTGGTGGGTTACTGGTGGTTATTCTCCCAGTGTTTAGGTACAAGTAAGGTAAAAATGATAAGGCAGCGTTTCAGAAATTCTTTGTGGCAAGATGACTCTGAACAGCAGAGACATCTATCTTCATCAGTGCTTTGCAAGCCCTTGCCAGACCCTCTCAGGTATGCTTTCTCTGTGTTTCAGGGAATTGTTTTTTAAGATGGTGATTTATAATTCTGAAGCAAATTGTAATGTCTTTATTCATTTAGTGTCTGCATCCTTTCCAATTGTGTGTTTTTGGGGTTTGGTGTGTGGTTTTTTTTTTTTTTAACACTGAAACTTGGTTTTCATTCTTGGCTTTGACACCAACAAAGTTTGTTCTAAACCAAAGCTATGCTGCTTGAGCATCTTAGCTCCAGACAGAGCAAGGGTGTACGTGTGATATGAATGGTAAGCGGGAAAATGACTATTTTAAGAGACCCAGCGGGGAGAGGTCGTGTGAGTGAGCATCACCCAGCTACCGGGTCTGCTGCCTGAGCTCTGTGTCTGCACTGATCAAAGAATTTCTCTAATCCAAGGCTTGAGAGAGCTGAGCCATTCAAAGTGGTTGTGTGTAGCATATAAATTTGGGAACAGAATTGGCCTTGTGTCTCTATGATGGAAAGACATCCAATCAGTCAGTAAATTCCCATTCAATTCATAGGCAAATCAGGACCAGCTGTAGCACAATTAAAGTTGACAGCTCACCAGAGGATAGGCACACATTTTACAAACACAAACTGCCTTCCTTTAGAAAGGGGCCCAGGCAGCCCTCTTGCTGTGGTTGCTCTTATTTAAGTTCATTAGCTAAAGAGAGGTGCAGTGGTTACTACCAACAGGGACAGGAGGGCACTGGCAGATGGGGTCAGAAATCTTATGGTCGCTTTTGTCTGCCCCTCTTCTCAGATCTGACTGTATTTACAACTAGGATTTTAAACCCAGTTCTACCTTACTCATGTGGAAGCAGTTGCACAAAGGACTGCTGCCTAAGGCCTATTAAATATGACATCTTTTATTTCAGCTGGTTTTCAAATCCTGTCTCTTCACAAGCATCTCTAACTGTAAAAAGTTGTCTCTTAAAACCCCAGAAATTTGCAAATACAAAAGTAGTTTCTAGTACAAGACCTCAAAATTCTACCATTTCTACAGGAAGAGAAGTTAAAGGTGTTCTTGCAGCAATAAGAAACTCTGATGAAAATATCCAGGAGACTTTAAGTGCATAGTAGCTCTGCCTACAAAGGCAGACAGACTTACCAGTCCTGGCTGATCTGCCATAAAGAGGAGATTCTTCCTCAATGCAGGTACTCAAACATTAACAAAAAGTAGATTCTCAGAACATGGCCATTTTATATTTAATAAATTTTGTGCAGTTTAACTGTTTGGTGGGCATTGTTCATCATTACTATCTCCACCAGTGTTCCTGTGACTTGGTGGAGCTGTGGACTGTGGTGCACTGTTAGCAAGTTAGGGCTATGCTTCCTCTCTTCTGAAAAGACCCTCTGTATATTTTGTCCTCCCCATGTGAGGTTGTTCACAAGCTCCTGGACATGGAAGCTGCTGGTCCAAAACCCTGCTCAAACAGGGGCAAAGTGAAGATCTATCTTCTGTATGCCAGGTACCATGAAGACAGAAGCAATTGTGCGCAGGCCCATCAGGGGAAATTATTTAAAGGTATAAGAGTGTTTCTCACAGTAGATGTTAACTGAACAAGTTTAATGAAGGCCAGCAGTATGGCATTAATGGAGTTAGATGCCCAAGATTGTCTTTTCAAGTGGTAGTCTTTAGTTTCCTTTTGTATTGTTTTTTCATGTATAAGTTGCTGTTAAATACTTTTCCTAGTGTGGCTACAGTAAAGATAAAAATGGGATGTTAGGTATATGAATCCTGTAGTACTGATGGTCATCTAAATACTTAGGAGACATCTTCATTTATGATGAGAAGGGTTTTTCACAGTTTTAAATTAGAGTTCCTGTATAATTGACACAATATGAGATTTAAAACACATAATTTTAATAACCCCCACAGGGGGAAAATAGAGCTTATAAAAACCAAAATGGTTAGGAAGAACAAATTGGTACTTGAAAAAAGAGCAAGGAGGTTGTGGGGGGTTGACCCAGGCAGCAGCTCAGTGCCTACACAGCTGCTTGCTCCCCCCTTCCCCAGCAGGACAGGGGAGAATAGGAAGAGCAAAATAAAGAGAGCTTTTGGTTTGAGATAGAGGTTTAATAAGCGAAGGAAAGAAGGGGGAAAAAAACCAAGTGATGCAATGGCAGTAACTCACCAACTCCCACAAGCTGACCGATGCCCGGCCAGTCTCTGTGCAATGGCCACCTTGGTAGACAAAAAATGCCACCTTTTCCTGCTACCCCAGTTTTATTGCTGAGCATGATGTTACATGGTATAGTATATCCTTTTGGCCAGTTCAGGTCAGCTGTCCCAGCTGTGTCCTCTCCCAGTTTATTCACTGAGGGGTGGGGGGTGTAGTTAGAAAAAAGAGAAAGCTGTGATACTGTGCAAGCACTGCTCGGCAATAGCCAAAACACTGGTGTATTATCAACAATTTTAGCCACAAATCTCCAACACAGCACCCCAGGGGCTGACATTAAGAAAGTTATCTCAATCCTAGCCAGACCCAGCACAGAAGTATTAATTTGTGTGTGCATGTTCATAATACCTGTTTCTCCCAACCCCACTCAAAGCTGAAGGCAGTCCTGTCACTTGATGTTAGCTTGGTCAGTTTTATTCCTCCTACACTGCTGGAATCAGGTGATGACAGGACTTGAACAATTAGTTGTTCAAAAAGCAGATCTTTACATTTTAGCTCCTGAGGTTTTTCTAGTGTAATCCATGTGCTCCTCTTTGAATTTTTGGGAGATGAAAGTCAATTATAAACAATTTATACTAAATTAATTTCGGCTAATATTTTAACTATACATGAAACAACAAAACATTCTTAGCATTGAAGTGCTACTGGAGAAGTTACTTGAAGCAGTATTAAACAGTCTTTCTAGGTAACAAGTGTATAAAGCATTGAAGATTGTGCTGAAATACAGTACCAATGACTGTGTGCTTTTCTAAATTAAATGTTGTGTATGACAGAGGTTCTCAATGCTGGGACTCCAGCTTACAGTTGATCTGATCTAACAATACTGCTCTCTTTCCTTCTCAGCACAATGCTTTTCACACAGCACTTGCACCTACAGGATATCCCTTATCCTGGCTCTAATGCTCACTGGGACCCTTCTCTGATCTGATTTATTTCCTGCCACTAAAATGGCAGAGAATGGCAGTTTTTTCCCTTCATTTCAGTGAGATGAACTGGCTTACAGAAGAGTCCAGTGAACTCCAGAGCTGGTGCAGTTAAGTGGCAGGAACAGGGGCAAGGGAAATGGCAGCAGTAGCTGGATCTCCCTCTTCTGGTAGCAGTGAACAATTATGATACTCAGTGCTTCTCTTGAAATTTGTGGTGGTGGCCACAAAAAAGTTTTGGTAACAAGTGGAGAAAGGTATAAAACCTGTAATACAGGTTATTGCCTCTATAAGATCTAAGCTGTTGCTCCTAATGCAAAAATAAACCCAAAACTGTTCACAGGGCTGTTTCCTTCTTTAAACCTAAAGGAATGTTATCAAACTTTCTAAACTTATTTTCAAGTGAAAACAGGAGCAAGATTAGCTCAGAGCACAGCTTCATAGGAATGTAATGAGTTAACAGAAACACACTTATATATAGCATTTGTAAAGCTATGAAGTTGGGTCTTCCAGTTTAGAAACATTTACCTGTTTCTATCATTGTACAGCATGCTATACTCAAAGAACACCCCAGGAATAGGTCTGTAAAGAAAAAAAAAAAAAGAAAAAAGTAGAAGTATGCTTAACTGAAGAAACCAAGTATACTTAACTGAAGAAACCTGTCTGGCATTAAGTACAGCCAGAAGGAATCTGGCTAATGAATTAAATGGATTTAAATTTATGGAAGTTGCCTATGCTTTAGAAAGGTGACCATTCAGGTTTCAGTGCCGAAGGTTCCAGATGAGAAGTGGCCATGAAGAATTTGCTTAACTACTTCCCTTTTTTACTGTCCAAAAGCGGTGGTGTGACAGCCAGAAGGAATCTGGCTAATGAATTAAATGGATTTTAAATTTATGAAGTTGCCTATGCTTTAGAAAGGTGACCATTCAGGTTTCAGTGCCGAAGGTTCAGATGATAAGTGGCCATGAAGAATTTGCTTAACTACTTGCCTTTTTTGCTTTCCAAAAGCGGTGGTGTGTTTTTTTTGTTTTTAAACTGTTTTGACAAAGCTAATCATCTCCTTGAAAAGATGATCAAGGCCACAAGTGAGAGGAAAAAAAACCAGGCAGATTACAAATAAAGCACTGGTAGAATCAAGTGTGATGGCATAACATTCCTTGGTCGGTTTTGTCAATAATGACATAAGGCTCCTGGATTTCATTTACTTTTGAATTATAGTTCTCCAGCTTTACTTCACTGGATTCAGGAGAGTCACGTTCAGGCTGCTGCTTAACTGAAGAAACCAAGTATACTTAACTGAAGAAACCTGTCTGGCATTAAGTACAGCCAGAAGGAATCTGGCTAATGAATTAAATGGATTTAAATTTATGGAAGTTGCCTATGCTTTAGAAAGGTGACCATTCAGGTTTCAGTGCCGAAGGTTCCAGATGAGAAGTGGCCATGAAGAATTTGCTTAACTACTTCCCTTTTTTACTGTCCAAAAGCGGTGGTGTGTTTTTTTTGTTTTTAAACTGTTTTGACAAAGCTAATCATCTTGAAAAGATGATCAAGGCCACAAGTGAGAGGAAAAAAAACCAGGCAGATTACAAATAAAGCACTGGTAGAATCAAGTGTGATGGCATAACATTCCTTGGTCGGTTTTGTCAATAATGACATAAGGCTCCTGGATTTCATTTACTTTTGAATTATAGTTCTCCAGCTTTACTTCACTGGATTCAGGAGAGTCACGTTCAGGCTGCAATAGGTTCCTTCTGCCCTGTGTGCTGGTCCTTCTTATGTGTGAAGACCGAACATCAATACTTTGTGGTGGAATGTAGGTGAGGTTAGGGGGCTCTCTAATGTGCCTGAAGCACTCAGAAGCTGTATGTGCATTAGGAGTATCCATTAGTAGTCTCTTGCTATCAGAACCAGTAGTAGAATCCTCCATGTTCCCAGTAGTATAGCATAGATCTGAAGATGGCTCAATATGCGCAGCTGCTCTGTTCTGCATCTGAGCATTAGTCAGATATGTATGTTTTATTTTGGAGTGATTAAATTCTCTTACATGCCTGTCACTTGTACTTGCATATGATACTGACTCAGGTTGGCCAGTTTCCTCTACTGGATACATAAGGTCTTCCTGAGTGTCCTTGATTTGTAGTTTTGTGAAAGTTAAAGACAGCTCACAAACTTCCTCTTCCCTAGGGACACTGCAGTTTTGGACAGATGCAATGTCCTTGTACGGCAGAGACTTCAGCTCATTGGGTTCATCTGCTGGGTCTGGGTCTATGCAATTTATGGCATCATTAATTTCTGCTTCAATTGATTCTTCGGGGACTTCTTGAGCTTTGTACTCCAAAGTGTTTTTGCTGTCACAAGAGCTGTCAGCAAATATTGCAAAGGCTGGCGGACCGCTTGCTCCTGGTGAGAGTGGCACAGGCCTTATCTCATTTGCAGTTGACTCTGTAGTGATTGCCAAAACACATTCTTCACTTAGACTGGCTCTTGGCTTTTTTTCAAAAGCTTTTGGAGAAAGATTCTCACTGAAAATAGGTGTTTGTCTTATGACAATGTCACTATATTTGATCAAGAAGTCCTCGCTGTCTGAGCATTTGCCCGGAAAATGTATGGTGTTAATGACTTGCCTTTGCTGTTCCTGAAGCCTGTTAGTGGATTGAGTAACTGCTAACTGAGGCGTGTCATCTTTGATCTTCAGATTCCCAGCAGCTTCAAAGGATATATTGCTATTACTTGAAGACTTCTGTTGAGTAGCAAGGCACAAAGATGTCTCACTGTTTTCTTTATTTTCTAGATGTTCAGCGTCTTCTCTCTGGGGTGTCTGATCCTCTTTGTCCTTATCTCCATGATGCCGGTGCATTTGTGTTCTCTTCTGTAGGGTCTTCTCCAAATTGCCATGTTTTTCCTCATTTGTCATTTCGAGAATGGTTTCACACTCAATTCTTGCCAGGAATATTTCAAATGCAGTCTGCTTTGTTTCCTCATTGTTTCTCTTTTTGACAAGTGAAAACTCTGTTGCTGTTGTTGCAATGTAACCTATTTTCTCCAGTACTGTTTTCACAATGTCATCTGGCAGCACAGATTGAATATAGTAGACAAAATTACCGGTGAATGTCTGAAACAGAATGCAACATTGAAAAACAGATGAACACTGAGGGGGTGGGGTGGAGGGAAGCGTGAAGGACTCCTAAAAATCAAAAGTACTTCAAAAATTAATTAAATCTTAAAAAAAAAAAAGTTCCTAAAAGTCTGAATTTTGAATTGGAGTGAGGCTTTTCTATCAGCATTATTTTGTCAGCCTCTCAAGCGTTACAGCTTTGCTATAGCATGTTAATTTCAGTGAAGTTATGCCAGTTTAAACCTGCTGATATATTGGCTAACAGCATCAATATTCAAAAAGGAAGAAAGTAAGAAAATCATTTTAGTCAAATTAGAGAAACTCAGAAATGTCTTATGTGCTCTACTGAAGAATGGAAGATTTTTAAACAAACAAAGATTCATAGAATAAATCACTGAGGTCTAATCTTTTCCTAAAGAAACAGACACGATGCACTCACTGTTAATTGTACTTCTTAACTGGTGACAAGACTGTAACATTTTCTTTTTCCATGGTTCAGACTCCTGCTGTAACTTTACTACCCCCGAATTAAGTTGCCATTTCTTTGAAAGCACCTTTTTGAAGGGAGACTATTCTAGCAGAAATATTGCCAAAACATGCTCTCTTTGCACAAGCTGTCTGCAAAACATGACTTGAATAAAATGCTGCTGCTGTGTAACAGCTTAAAAAATTGTTCAACATTTGCTTGGTTTTGGAGCTACCCCAGGCACAAGGCCTAGTTTGTAAACTGGAAGTGGGTTTTGGTTTTGTTTGAAATACTATGATAGGAGAGACTATGTTGACTCAAGCATGACCAGCTCCAGGCAAGTCAGAACAGAATGGAGGTAGGAATGCAAAGTCAAGACTTCCAGAATCGGGGTACCTTTATTTTTAGGCTGCCCAGCTTGAGACTGACTTACCTACTTCCTAAGGCTGAGACCTAAGCATTGGTCTCACAAGCACAAGCTTGGGGGAGAACAAAACTGACGCCCAAAAAGGCCATCAACCTAAAAGGCCATAGTATAATGTAGGACTGAGCCTCAGTCCATTCTCAGATAAAGTTGTCAACAGTGCCTTTCACTCCCCAGCTTCTGTCCCTTCTAGAGGGGAAGTAAGGAGCAGGCACTGCGGGGTAGGGGGGGAGTGACATCAGAGTGGGTGAGAGGCAGGAAATATGTGAAGTAGTATTCCACATACGACCAGTAACTTTTTATCAAGCCTGTATGTACACAAGATACTGGTTGTTCTCCAACTTGTGCCTTGCAGTAGAATTATTTCAGGCCTTCAGCAGGCTGTCTTGCACTTTGGATTACCCATGGTGGTCTTCAAAATTTGATTTTAATAAAGCCTAAGATTCTTGTGTCATGAAAAGCTGAGCCTGCTAACTGTAGACCTGAATATCTTATGCTTTGCCCTGTTTTAGGGAGATGAATGAGGAGAATAGGAATCTGTACATGAAATCTAAGGGCAGGAAGAAGGAAAGAAGGGGTTTTTCCTCACCGTCACCTGTTGCTGTAGTAAGGGAAATTAAGTTTGCATTTTGGATGTTCAAGGATTTTGTTTAAATACAAGTAGATTCTGCATGTATTGAAGATTGCTGTCTCTTCTGGGCAATGAGAGGTGTTCACTGTGCTTAGGGAAGCAGGGTAACCTTGACCACCTTGTTGCAAAAAGCAACAGCGTTTCCTCTTTCAAAGGGGGTTTTCCTACCCACTTGACCAGCTGCAGTCACCAGAGCTAAGATAGGTGGTAAAATTACTGGACCAGAGAGACTGGCCCACCTGACCTTTGGCATCAAACTGTTAGCAAGAGTGATAACTAATGCTAAAAAGCATCCCCTCCTTATAGGCAAATGAAGGTTAAAACTCAGAGTAATGAGAGTCTAAGCCTTTCATTGTACCTTTTTACTTCTCTACCGTCTCACAATAACTGAAAGTCTCTGTTTCTAAACCCTTGAACTGCTCAGCACTCCTGGGAAGGCCCTGAAGGCCCGGCCTCGGCGAGGACAAGGCCTGCACAGGCCAACGAACACCTCGCAGCATCCTCGCACCGCTCAGGGCACCCCTAACCCGTTCCAAATGGGCTCCTAAACGCTGCTCCTAACTCCCCGGGGCGCGGGCACCGCTGCCGTGCCTCCTGCGCCACAGGCCTGGGGAAGAGGCTTTGAAACCCCGCAGCCGCCAGGCCCCGAGGCCGGACAAGTCCTCCCCGGGGCTGGCTGCACACCCCCGCCCGAGCTCCACGGCGCTTCCCTACCTTCAGCGACCTGATCTCCTTCCGCCACGGGGAGAGGAGCAAGTTGACGCAGAGCAGCTCCAGTACCTCCAGCGCCTTGAGCAAGTCGCGGAGGACGCTGCCGCCCCGCTCGCCCCGGGCCCCCCCGCACCCCCCCCCCCCCCCCCCCCCCCCGTCGCACCCCCCC